CCTCTTCGGGGAAACCGAGGGTTTTGTCTGTGCAATACAGGATCAGGTTATTAAGACCAACAACTATCGGAGATACATCCTAAAGGATGGCACTGTCGACGTCTGTCAAGCTTGTCGCCATCCCAGTGAGTCACTTAGGCATATCATCTCCGGTGTTCGGCGCTTTCTAACTCTGAGTACTTGCACAGACACAACCTAGTAGCCAGAATTCTTCACCAGGAGCTCGCTCTGAAATACGGTCTCGTGGATCGGAAATTGCATATTACAAGTACTTGCCGGAAACCGTGCTCGAAAATGATCGCGCCAGGCTTTATTTTGACCGGGCCATCATCACAGACAGGACTATTCTTGCGAATAAACCTGATATTGTGCTGATGGACCGGGCACAGTCAAGGATATTTTGGTCGACATTACCATTCCGTATGACGAGAACCTCGTGAAAGCCGAAACAGATAAGCAAACAAAATACCTGGACCTGGCTCACGAGGTGACCGACATGTGAGGTGGACTGCCGACCGAAATTATTCCTGTAGTTGTCTGCAAACGGGCTAATCCCAGTTAGCCTCTCGGGTCATCTGAGGCGGCTGGGACTACGTGGCGAACCGCTCCAGGCTCAAATGTAGAAGGTGGTGCTCCTCGATACAGCCCGCATTGTCCGCCGGTTTATTTCCCTTTCCCTCTAACCCTCGGCCGTTTGGCCTCCCCCTGCCGAGGGCTTCCATCTGGTTGGATAATATTTATTTATGTGTTTTTTGTATATATATTATTTTATTGATATTTATGTATATTTATCTTTCCATTTTAATTTATAATTATATATTTATAGAACCCAACCAGATGAGAAAATTATATAGATACCCCAATAATAATAATAATAATAAAGGGTTTTGCCTGTGCAATACAGGATCAGGTTATTCCAACAACTATCGGAGATACATCCTAAAGGATGGCACCGTCGACGTCTGTCGAGCTTCGTCATCCCGGTGAGTCACTTAGGCATGTCATCTCCGGTTGTTCGGCGCTTTCTAACTCTGAGTACTTGCACAGGCACAACCTAGTAGCCAGAATTCTACACCAGGAGCTGGCTCTGAAATACGGTCTCGTGGACCGGAAATTGCCGTATTACATGTACTTGCCGGAAGCCGTGCTCGAAAATGACCGCGCCAGGCTCTACTGGGACCGGGCCATCATCACAGACAGGACTATTCTTGCGAATAAGCCTGATATTGTGCTAATGGACCGGGCACAGTCAAGGATATTTTTGATCGATATTACCATTCCGTATGACGAGAACCTCGTGAAAGCCGAAACAGATAAACGAACAAAATATCTGAACCTGGCTCACGAGGTAACCGACATGTGGGGTGGTCTGCCGGCCGAAATTATTCCTGTAGTCGTCTCTGCGAATGGGCTAGTTTCAGTCAGCCTCTCGGGTCATCTGAGGCGACTGGGACTCCGTGACGGACCGCTCCGAGCTCAAATGCAGAAGGCGGTGCTCCTCGATACCACCCGCATCGTCCGCCGGTTTCTTTCCCTTTCCTCCTAACCCTCGGCCGTTTGGTTTCCCCTGCCGAGGGCTTCCATCTAGTTGGATCTTATTTATTTATATATTTTTTGTATTTATTTTATTTTATTGATATTTATGTATATTTATCTTTTCATTTTAACTTAAAATTATATATTTATAAAACCCAACCAGATGAGAAAATTATATAGATACCCTAAAAATAATAATAATTATTATTATTATTGAATCTCAATAACTCCCACATTAATGGATCACAGTTATTTGATGATTATGTTCTCTTGTGAGGCCACAAACTGTGATGGATTTGGCCAAGTTTGTGAGGAATAAACTACAAACTGTGTTGAATTTGGTAGAATTTGTTGTGAAGAATAGGCTAGAAACCGTTTGATTTTAAGGTAAAGGAATATGAAACTGGTTGTGAGTAATGAGCTACAAACAGTGGACGATTTGGTGTTGAAGGAATGTGCAACTGATATTCTCTAGGTTCACCATTGAGTAATCACTTAAATTTCCTAACTCTGCATAAAATAACACGTCCGATATTAATTATTGAGCAAATTTTTTTCGTTTTTTCCAATTGCATTAGCTGTTGTCTAACATTATTTCCAAATGATATTTCTTGGCAATGTATATGCTGACCACTTATCTTTCTGTAAGGCTCTTATTCCGGTTTTATATATATATATATATATATATATATATATATATATATATATATATATATATATATATAAAAAAAGAACGCGAGTAACCCGGGTTCGATCCCCGCCGGCACCAATGAAATTGTTAATTGCAATTTTAAGTGCTGATTTACCACGTGCTCGGCGGTGAAGGAAAACATCGTGAGGAAACCTGCATGTCTGAGGAATAAGAAAAAAAATATTTCGAAGACATGTGAAGTTCGTCAACACGCATTTGGGCAGCGCGGCGGACACTTCCTTGCCCTAAACCCTCTCAGAAATGAGGGGGAGGCCTGAGTCCAGCAGTGGGACGTATATAGGCTGTAACTTTACTTTACTATATATATATATATATATATATATATATATATATATTCTGGCGACAGATTGGTTGGCACCAATCTGTCGCCAGAATTGACGATGACAAATTGCCACTTGGAAAACGTTGATTGAATAACCAGTCAATTGTAGGCTTGATAAAGCTGCGTATTTCAATAATACTTTTGTATAGGCGAGCCTGAAACAAACAGTATAAAAAATTATTTCCAGAACAGGCGGACCGAATCATTGATAGAAGTCCGTCTGTACGTCTATTTCATGTTAGATCGGTGGTCGATTTGACGCTCCAAAAAGAAGAGAGCAGAAGTCAGCATTGTCAATGCTGAATGCATGTGTTGCACAATCAACAACCGCCTAAAATGAGACACTAGCGTCCAATTACCAATACCAGTATGGGCTATTAACTAGCTTAACAAACATAGGTAGTTACAACAGATATAACATTACGTGTAAACACAATTACGTGCAACATTACGTGTAAACGCAACTTTATCAAGCCTACAATTGACTGGTGATTCAATCAACGTTTTCCAAGTGGCAATTTTCCATCGTTAATGGGTAGCGGTTCTGGCGACAGATTGGTGCAAGGGTGTCATGTAGCACCTGGTTTTGTACCCTTGTGTACCCTTCAACGGCCAAGTCACACAACATTAACTATAATAATAAAGAAATCGCAGTAAGGAACCTTAGACTTGGCACGACTTTGTCTAGATTTCATTACTTTTTAGAGATAAACAAGCAGCTCCATCGAGACTTGGCTAGTTTTTTACAGAATGTTTTTGGTGGGATTTCACTTCTTTTTGTAGAAACGTTGGCACATTGATTTATTTTATTAGATTTTCTTATTGGACACATTTTTTTTCTTTTTAGCAGTAGTTTTTTTATTATTACAAATCTTTCTTTTCTTTTTTTCCGGTTCTGATTCTTGTACAGTAGCAACAGTTTTTCGTATTGCCCATTCGCGTTCATTATTTATTCTTTTAGACGGTTTAGACGGTTTAAAATCTGAAAGATCGGCGCGGTATTTACGCCTAAGCCGGTTGTATTCGGTGATCGCTGAAGCTTGATCTTTATACTCTTGAAGTCAACATTTATGAGGTGCATCCCATGAAGATTGGTTACTCGTGAAAGCGCCACGTAGGCTTGGCCACAAGTGAATATGGAGGTGCCAATGTCCATGAGGGCATTTTTTAGATTTAGACCTTGGCTCTTGTGAATTGTTAGGGCATACGCCACACAGATTGGGAATTGTTCCCTGTACACCCATGCCCGGGGTATGATCTCAAATTTTGACTTAATAGGCAATAATTCGTGAATCAAATTATTAGCGAATTTTACTACCAATTGTTTAGGCTTTGTTTGGTCTTCCGGGTCCCACCTCACTTTTTGTACAACGCCTAATGACCCATTCACTAAACCTAAACTAACATCAATATTTCTCCTAAGCATTACTTTAGCTCCCTCTTTAATGATTATAGTTTCTTCCAGTCCAGCAGTCATCGACGCATCATCTTCATATTTTTGTAAACACGCCCGGGCTTTCGTTATCATACATTTTGAACAATCCAAGGAATTTTTAGCAACTAACTTTATCTCGGGGTGCGGAATCGCTTTTAACATAGTATTATTTAACTGCATACACATATTTCTAGTCGGTAGTAAACAAACAGTATCTTCCGGTAAGTCCCTCAAACATTGTGCTATTTCCATTAACCTTCCTTCATTGGAATGTGAGAGCAGATGTATCAATCGGTTAGACAGTATAACTCTGTCTGATTGAGTTGTCACTCCGACTCTGATTCTTTTTAACATTTCTACAAACGTAGAATCATACAGCTGTCTCATATTCAACGTAAGTTCGTCGTAACTAAAAAGTTCAGCCCATAAGTTTGGAATAATTAAGGAGCCTATAAGTTTATTAATTTTTGAAGGGGTTAGTTTTTCAAATGGCGACTTTTCTCTAACGGGTGGAAGTTGCTTAAGATCCCCAAGCACTAAAATATGTTTTTTCCAAACCAACCATCTAATACATCAGAAGTATCAAATACTTCGCATAAACGAAGATTTATGTAGGCTAAAGTTACATTAGATATCATAGACACTTCATCTATAATAAATAATTCGACAGTTTTTAAGTCTGTCCTTAAAACTTGAAGTACTTCGTCTGAAAGCGATTTGTATTTAGGAGTTTGTTTATGCTCTACGGGCAGTTTTAATCTGTGAACAGTTAATCCGTTTACGTTAAATGCTGCAATTCCAGTCGGGGCAGTAATAGCAACATTTTTATGCAGGTTGTTTTTAATCCATATTTTTATGGTTTTTATTAAATAGCTCTTGCCAGTGCCACCGGTGCCACTAACAAAATGTCGCAATATTTCTTTTTGATTCCTAATTTTATTAGTGACTGTATCAAATACTTTTTTATGGTCAGAATTCAGTTTATCTATCATTGCTTACTCATTCATTTCAAAAATATCTGCTTCAACTAAATCAAAGTTGTTTAAATCTTCCATAGCATTTACCGCTTCCAAAGCTTCAAACTCTAAAGTATTGTTGGGTCCCTCATCTACTATGTTTTCCCTTTCTTCGTTTAGTTCTGCTACTTTTTCTTCTGCCTTTTCAAAAGCTGTTTGTAAAATATTTCGTAATTCAGTCCGTAAATTTCCGTAGCGTAACGCTTCTTGTAAATCGTCCTTTACAGCATTAAATGTTTCTGTGTATGTCTCATGTTGCATTTTTAGGTCATCTAGTATTCTCCAAGGTTTAAATAATAACAACAAGGAAAAGAAATATTTTTCTGGCATTTGCTCTACATCATACAGGTAATGGTTAATTAGGTATGGTCTATCTCGTTTTTTATTTGCTAAAACATAATACTCTACTTTATTTGAAACAGGCCGTGTATTAACTAAATCATAGTCTTTCGCAAAGTCTAATAAATTCATGTCTTGTAAATCGTCAGGTCTGGCAGGGTAAACGTTGTCTATCCAAGAATCGTAATATATGTCAGTGGAATTCGGGTCCAGTGCAGTCATTTCAGATTTCGATTTAACCCTGCGATTACGATGAATGTTTACGTCTAACCATCTTATTGTTGTTTGTGGGTCCGTGCCGTAAAGTGGTATTCCCAATAATGTATCGCTGGCTTCTAAAGCTCCGCATTCTCGATTCGATAATACTCTGAGACCAATATTATATAACCGGCTTCTAAGACTTTTTGTAGAGTTAATATCGTTAAACATGTCGGTTGCATGGGTCTTTTCACTTTTAGTAGTATACTTGGTCACATAATAGTTCAAAATGGCTGTTTTCTCTCCAACATATTGAATATCAATATTTCCATTCCACGCCAACAGCAAAGCGGGATTGTAGTCATTAATCATATCTGACTCCTTTGAGCGGACAATATTGTAGAGACGATTATTAGAGCTGAGAGTTTTTCTTGCCGCTATAGTTTGAAAAATGTCTCTTATGATAAGAGAATCCGTCACAGTTCGAGGAAATCCAAAACGGCAAACTGAAACGAATCCTTTTTTCGTTTTCTTTCTCCTCATGCAATAACTGTTATGTTTATGCATTTGATACGAAGTGACCCGTTGATGTAAAGTAGGAGAAATATCTTTTTTTAGAATGGCACATGTCTCGTATTTAGAAATAAATGACGCTACCTCGTCTATAGATGACTTGTGTAGAATGGGTGCATCCTTAACCCATAACATTAAATGGAAGTGTTGAGCACCCCTAGATTGGTACTCTCGACGCCAAAAGTAATGAATAATCTTACCTAAAGGCTCATCTGAACTAGTTATTAAGTCTAACATTGCATGAAACTTGTTATCTATAAAACGTGAGGTAGATACGGGGTCAAGAGCAACCAATTCACTGATTGTTTTATTAGCCATTTCAACGCCATTTACTTGCCTGATGTACTCTCCCAAATCCTCCCACATCCACTCAGAGGGACTCATGGTAAGAAACCAAGTTGCTAGACAGTAATTTTGAGTCATACAATTTACATCGTTTCTTGGTTTCTTCCAGAACTGTTCGGTGTTTCTCACTCGGCCAAATATTGCGGTCAAATCACCTTCCAGCTCATCATTTTTAAGCATTTGGAGATACTGTTCTGCCGTAATTTTATCTCTCTGATTAGCACAATTCATTTTATAAAAGATTCCGGAGTTTAATTGGCGCATATTAGCATCATTCAATAAGAAAAATAGATACTGTTGGTTAAGTCCACAAACTAATAAGAGTTGGTTAAGTCTAAATTGAGGATGTTTTGTCATAAGCCGGGCTTTAATAAATTCACTAGAAGTTACTTTCTGCTGCCGATTATGAAATTGGCCTATGAAAACATTTTCATAGGCCAATTTCATAATCACATATAAATGTGGAAAACATTTAACAGCGAGGTCTTTATCTCGGGCAACAATCGGTGCTGTGTTTACTTTGAGCATTTGGTAGATTTCTGAAGCTGGTGCATTTTGTCTCCGTTCATTCAAAGGATATAAGGTGTAATGCTCATAATCAGTTTCCTTTTCTCTTGTGTGTCTACCATCTTCTAAAATGCCTTCTTCAGCATTATCTGGTGTATTTGTAACATTATGTTGAATATTTTCTTGTATGTTTATGAGCTGATTAGGTAAATCTGTTAATTAGATATAAGCATAATGTTCGTTTATATTTTTTAAGTATTGTAATGCTTTGTACACTTTATTAACGTCAACAATGTCTTACCATATACTTAATATTTGCTTTGTTTGGCGTACTTCGGACTATAATATAAAGTTCTGGGTTTTCAATTATTGCGTCTTCAGGTTTTGGGAGTTTTTTTAGGGTTTCTTCCATCGGAAGTGGTAAATGAAAAGTCCTGCCCTTTACTTTTTTAACCATCTGACGATTGGGTAGACGTTTATTAGCCACAGGATTCATTTTGACAACCACCTGAAACGCTTTAGCGCGTTGGATTAAAATGTTTTCATAGTCGTTCAGCTGAGCTATTTCTGATGGAACAGTGCTTACATGCATGTCATTGAGGATACAGACAGCAGGCATTTGGTTAGCACGAAACTTAGCAAGGCATGTGTGGCATATGTCGGACTGTGAGTTATTAGGCTAGAATTATAGTAGTTCAGGAGCTGATTCCAAACATCTGTTGATATGGGCTTTCTTAATCGTTCTATGGAACTAATATCCCTAGAATAACATAGTTTATTGCACTACATAGAATCCAGTTTCGGTGTTACACTTTTTTTGGAAAATAGTTTAAAAGCAACCTTATTACTTTTTATTATTTCATCTTCCACGATTTCACTATCAGTTGTACGCTCTACAACGGCACTTCCTACCGTCGGTTGCTTTCCTAGCTCCATAAGCTTATCCACATTACCACTTGCCAAAGAATCGTCAATATCAAGCAATAACTTACAGTCGCTGTGTATTTGATAAATCTCTCTGATAATAGTCTAATAATTAATAAAGTTGATATTTTCTTGCAGTTTTCCTATTTCTACAGACATCGAGTAAATTTGCGGAGTAGTTTGGAGGCTCAATATTTCAAAAATGTTTTTCAATTTTAGTAAGATTCCATCATTTAAAACGCACAATGAATCCGAACAAGACCATGTCAGACTTTTGGACATTTGTAATGGTTTTTGCTTTGCCAGTGTCATCAATCTCAATAGATTTTTCTTTATCTTCATAAACCTTATAAGCTTGTTCAGAATAAAATGGCTCCTGATTACTGCTATGTTCGGATTTACCAAGAAATTCTTCAAATTTGTCTTTTATATCCGTGCTTTCAGGACATATTTTCAACTTCTCTAATGCCGCTACTATTTTTTCTTTTAATATATTTGCAGTCTTGTTCAAATCTTCTAAAGTTCTTTGCCTATTATGGAGAGTCCACTTAACTATTTTTTCTGATTCTAATCTATCTTTAAGTTTAGTTGTAAGAACTCTAGTGATTGTTTCTATGTTTCCCTTAAACTTTAGTTTGTCAGTAGATCTCTTTCGCGCTAAGTTTTGTCTCTTTACTTCCGGATGTGAAGCACGGTAGCGAGATACTGCGGCCTGATTGACTTCCGGATGTAAAGCACGGTAGCGAGATACAGCAGCCTGATTGACTTCCGGATGTGAAGCACTGTAGCGTGCTACAGCTGCGCGGTTTACTTCAGGGTGTGAAGCACTGTACTGTGCTACAGATGCCCGGTTGGCGTCTGGATGTAAAGAATTATAAAGTTCTACGGTTTCTCGACGTTTTTCAGGGTGTTTTTGTCGGTAACGAGCCGCAGCTTCTTGAAGTTGTTCAGATCGTGACACGTTCGGATACCTTAGGTCTTCCTTTTTTAGTTTTAGTCCGTCTACCGCCTTTTCCCTTATGCTTCATGTTCAATTCACTTTGCGTAGAGTTTAAGTCATATAATGTACATATAGCAGTATCTGATGTTACAGAATTTAATGTTATGGGATCAAAGGGGGAAGAAGATGGAGAGGCATCTCGTAAACACTTTTTTTGGCCAGCATCGCCAAAGGAATCTCTTTGTATACAAATTTTGAGCGAAATTAATATTTTAGTGTAATTTGTTTATTTAACAGTTCAGTAATGTTCGAGTAGAATAAATTGTTCGACTATTTTTTCTTGTAAACTTGTAAGTATAAGTATAAAAGCCAATCTAGTGTTATCCAGAATTTTCCTTTAATTTTATTTATATGCGCATTAAAAGCAGAAGGGGAGGCATTCGCCCAGCAGTGGGACGCTATAGGCTAGATTAAATTATAAGATGTGTCCCACTACGCTGGATTTTTGCAATGACAGTAGATTTTTATGTACCAATGGTAGAAGGGGGCATTACCATATCTCTAATACAGCTGAGACCAGCTGAGGGTTCTTCATCAGATACTTTAGACCTTCGATTTTTGACATCAAATGAAGCGGCCCACCAAGTTGAATATTTTTTGTAAATACGGTATGTCGATCTCTTCTTTCTAATAGTTTGGTTGGGCTCTTGTGTTTTCTAATCAGGGTCACCAGGTACTCCAGATGTTTGATTATCCTAGTTTTTATAGTTTTCCCTTTATGTGGCCATTAAACCCTAACTCTGTACCAAAATTCAGCTGAGTTTATGGGAAGTACTAGTTCTATTCTGATGATCATGAGTGAGTGAGTGAGTGTCATAAATGCGAAACTTTGCTTTCGCTTAACTTCGGAACTAAACCTTCAGACTTGAAATTTTGGATTTTAAGTATGTGATTATAGTTTACTGGATGACGAAAATTTCTGCGTTCTGGTATTATCCAGAGGTTCTCAAATAGGGGCCTGAAAATGCGGCGAAATGGTTCCAGTAAAGGATGGTACGGCAGTGTTTGCTTTGCACTCGACTTGGCGGGGGCACTGCCGTGCCCCCCGAATATATATATATATATATATATATATATATATATATGTTGTCATTTCGTTATGTTTTTTTAAATGGCTCATTTAGTGATAGTGATCGATAACTACTTACGTACTCAATAAAATCTTGTATGCAGGTAGGTACTTACAGAAGTAACTAAAACATCTTCGTTAAGAGTCTAAAGTTGAAACTGGTAGTTGTAAATGGTACCCTTTATTTTTTACTTCCCACAAGCAAGTTTTCTCTTTAAACAGCAGAATAAATTCTTGCCAAAACTATGATCATCGAACGATATGTTATTATATTCGTGAACAAACAACACAACTGCGTGCACCCACTAATGGCGAATGACTGACAAGTTGAAGGATAAATCCGCGCGCGCACACAACCGCACGGACTTGTCCGCCGCGTGCCGCGCACACCAGTACGTTCACACGCATCACGCCAGCGACAAGCCGGCGGATAGGCGTACTGGTACTACTGTATACTGTATGTACTGGCTGTGACTGGTAGCCCTTACACTTTCCATCAAAATCCATATGTTTTCTGTTATCTACCCCTCGGGGACTACACGACTTATTATTGCTACGTGTTTATGATTAATGTTCACGCTAGTTGGTAACGTTTATTAGTAAACTCTACTGACATAATTATTGTTACAAAATAAATGGAATATTTACTAATATCTAATCTACAACTACTAGTTAAAATAATAATGAATAAAAATCATTCTGCGAATTAAGCAATTATTTTAAACGCAGTGAAAAAAATTATATATAATAATTTTTTTTATTTTTTTACTTTCACTTGTCTACTACAGTCTATTCAATTAACTTATGCACTATTTTAATGATTTACGTCCTAAATCATCTTATTACACATGTAAAAATGCAATAATAATAAGATACAAAAAATAAACAAAAATAAATGTAGTAGCCTAAAAATCGGCAATTTTCAATAAAAAAATTAAAAGTCAAATATGTCGAAAAAGGTTAAGTTTAGGGTAGGGTGTTTCATAGTGAAATAAGTCAGAAATGATGGGTACTCCACGCCCGTAACGGATCTAGCACGATTTTTTCTTGTAACCCTGTATATATTTTAATTAAAATAGTCGCGGAAAATATGGACAGCAAAAATTAGTTTTAGAGTGATTTTATTTGTATGTAGGTGCTGTTATAAAAAAATCACGTGCCTTATTCAAACCGTGATATAGTACCTATCTGAAAATTTTATTATACTGAGGGTCGATTTTTTAATCATCAAACATATCTTATCCATCAATATAAATTACCACCTGACTGAATATAAAAGTGAAACATTTGAAGTATGTTTTTAATAAAACTGGCATTTTTAATTTTTCCTTGTTGTATATTATCCTACGAATAGGTACCTTAGATGAATGAAAAACATTTTATCTAATGTTTAATGAATCAGCCCTAACTGTTCTACGAATATTTTATTAAGAAATATTTTTATAATTGAAATGTATATTTCGTTAATAAATTTTGAAATGTTCAGTGTTAGATGGTTGTAATAAAATAATTAGGTAGGAATAATAGATTATATATGTAATATATTAAAATTAGCCTGAGATTCCATAAACAATCGAAGCAAATGTTCTAGTTGAGACATTGTGCGAGCTCAAATTGTTGCCAAATTTGTTAAAAGGAACTAATTTCACGCGGGGGGGAAATGTAAACTTTGTTTCCCTCGGAATTAGTTTTGACTTCACATGGTGTCTTGTATTCACTTTTTATTCTTAAGCATTTTTTTCTGTTTATACAATAAAGGTAAGTGTACTTTTGTTGGATTGGTGGTTTTGTACCACTTATTGAAAGACAATTTTTACTTTTGCCTTCTCTTCGAAAAAAAACTGGCCTGGGAAGAACCAACGAAAAACTCAGCGGGGCTTTTTTTAAAAGCCCTATTTAAAATGTAATATTTTATATAATTGTTATGATAACATTAAGAAACGGGGTGGTAACGACGAACTCATTCCCAGGGATTATCATGTACTCTTTGGTAGTATAATAGCCCTTACTGAACAATTTTAGCTTAATAAATATTGTAAACCATTTGATAAATAAGGTTTGCATATTTTCTGGGACTTTGTTGTAAAAGCCTGGTGTAACTAACTTGTGCTTGCTGCTAGTATTTATCACTATTTTGAAAAAATATTTTTGTTTTTGTTACAAAAAAATTTCGAAAATATATTGAGAAGCCAAAGTTAATATATTTATTCCTTTAAATTTTTCTCTAAGGGAAGAGTACTCTGATTTAGTTTATAAGGCATTTAAATATTATAATGATAAATTATTATTATCGCAAACGAAAGAATGTCTGGTATACGTTTGGTAGACTACAACAAAGTTGCCTAACGTAATTATTAAAAAATAAAATGTTTTCATTTTGTGATATGTTAGAAATTTTTATGAGATTATTTGAATCGTTTATTACGTTATTACGTTACGTTTTGAATCGTATTTTTTGATTACCGTTGTGAGAGAATTTTACGAATTTAATAATATCACACTTATTTAGTAGGTTATAAAGTTGGCATAAATAAACATTAGGTATTTTATTTTTAAAATCGGAAAACATTAATCCAACACTCATATGAAGTGTAACTCACTCGGGATCATTTATTTGTAAAACGTGTATCTATAATAATTTTGAACATTATTTTACGTAAGTAAGCTGTGCTTATACTCAAAAGTGTAAGCGATAAAATGCTCTCTTATGGACTACACACGGTATAAATATGGAACGGTACGGAAACTACCTACAAACGCTCAAAACGACACACTCACACAAACATGCTACGAGACTTCTAAGCGGACGTCGCGGTGCTCTCAGTAGCGAGTGCAGCGTTGCCACCTCAAAACGAGTGGTCACGTTTAAGTTCATCTCTCTCTGCATTATTTTAAAATGCCACGAACGTATTGCGTAGTATACGGCTGTTTGAACTTTGATGCATTAAAATCTACAAACAACCCTATTGCTTCAATCGAGCGTAGGTTATTATGCCCTCAATAAGGCTTAGTTTCCTTACTGTTTCATATTTATACTGTGGTTCAACTGATCATTCCAACTGATCAGTTCAAACTAGTACTGTTGATATTTTTTTTTAAATATCGGATTTTCGATATATAGATAATTTTAAATATATAAATATCGGAGTTTTATATATATGTTTATTTATCGATATATCGAAAATCAGATATTTAAAAAATATCAACAGTTCTAGTTTGAACTGATCAGTGGAATTGACTGTGTGAGTCGTCCATTATCGACATTTTATGTAATAAATATTTGCAATAGCAATGTCTCTTGTGCGTCAAGACCGCGGATATCCCATTGCCGATTCCGAATGAAAACATTATTTTGCAAAATACGTGCTTTTGAAATAGTAGTACTTATTTCACCCTATACAATAATTTATCTGCTTAAGCATATTTAATTGGAATCTGTTAACACATCCGCGGCCCATATTCATAAAGTTGCAGATTTATCTATTATCAGTTGTTTAAAAGTAAGGTGCAGGGAGGCAATTGCAACTAAAAAATATGAGCACAAAACCTTGAATTCATGTACCCATTTTTTGATGAGCCTGAAATAACAAACATTGTTTTTACTAAGTGCCCTATGTATCACTGAAAGCTACTAATATGATGATTCGGTTTATTAGTTTATGAAAAAGCCTTAAATAAATCATTTCTGCGAGAAGAACGCACAAGGTTGCATTTACCCCACACCGGGGTAATTGCAACTGTAAGCTGTAAGTATGCTATAGATTATGAATATACATTTTAAATGAGTGTAAGTAGTAATCTGTATTGTCTTTTTTCCGATAATAGTTTTTAAATCAGCGTTAGAAGGTTTGAATTACTATGAAATTTTGTTAAAAAATGTTAAGGGGTAAATGCAACTCTTTTTTTCGATAATAGTGATGGGATATGATATATTATCATAGTTTATCGATAAGGTCTCTCGTCACTTTTTGTACAAAAAAATCTAAGTAAGGAAGTTATTAATAACAGTAAGAACTAACTTAGGTATATCTTACTAAATATACTTTTAATATGCAGTAAATTAAAGGGTTTGCACTAGGTCAAGGTTATACAATAATGTTCTCACCATTGTAAGAAAGTCCGTGTTGTGTGTGTGTGTGTGTGTGTTTGCGGGGTAAAACCGTAGAGCCCAGCCAGTAATGGATAAAAGAGTAACATTAAAAATACTGTGTTTTAAAATCTGTTTTTATTAAATAACAGCTGAAAATTTTAGTCATTTATGGTAACTCGACAAAACAGTTAACTATGTACTTATATAAAATAAAAAAATGTCATCAAACCATTTAATTGCCATCACCGGCAAATATAATGTGCAATAAACATATGTTCATTATGACATTTATTGGACATTATAATTACTGAAATTAAAATCGAATATGAATTGCCCTCGACGAGTAATTGTTGGCTCAGGTAACATAAGAACAATATCGCTTAAATGTTTGATGGTACAAATATCATCTACCGTTGGATAAGTAAACGTGGTTCCCACTTTAGCTTTTGACGTTTTAACTTTTCTTACAAACTTTACTGTTGGACATTTTGCATCATCTAATGTCAAAACTTGGCCAACAAAGTGCTTCACACTTTTTTTTGTAGTAAATTGGGCTATTATCCAATCATCGTTTTTGATTTTTTTTTCATCGGCAAAATATTCAATGTCAGACAAGCCAAATTTAATTTCTGTCGGGTAGTTTTCTTTTTCCTCATCTTCGCTTAAGCACGCAGCTATGTAGTCTTCAAAATTTTCATAATCCGAGTTATCAGTGTCTGCTAATTCAAAACTGCAATCTGATGTTAATGAGCTCGATTCACTGTCAAATTGTCTCTTTTATGCTTTGTCACTTTTTGAGTTTTGGTGCAATATTTTTTCTTGTGATTTTTATTATTTTTTTAATTTTTTTACATTCGAGTCGAATACTTTCTTTTTTTCTTTTTTATGAACTTTCTTTTCGTTGTCTTCACTGTCCTTATCTGATAAACATCCGTGAATAATTTTCTGCTCTTCAAAGTTTTGATTCATTTTCGATTTGTGTATCTTGTTCTGTTTAAATCCTTTATTTTTGTTCTTTTTCTTTGCTTCTTTCTCGTTTCTTTCTTTCAAGTCATTCTTCATTTTCTCTATAGTATCTTTATATGTTAGCACTTCTGCTCCTTGAGTGTTAACGCGCTTTTTAGTCTTCTTAAGCGGATCATTTCGAGCAATAGACTGCAAAATTAGCTGCTCCAATGATATGTTTTCCGTAACATTTTTGAGCTGGAAGGTTTCATTATTGTTACTTTTATTAAAATTTGCTGGTACAATAACTACATCAGAAAGTATTTTTATTTTTTCCTTTTTTTGGAACGTCAGAATCAATATTCTGTTTAGAATCCACATATGAGTTTATTTTATTAATAGCCAAGCTCAGTAGACTTGGTACGTTGTAGTGAGGTGTTATTGAGTCATTCAAAAACGTTTTACTTTGTCCTTGAATTTGGAATTCTTTTTGTCCTTGTGTACTACAATCGATCGATTGGTTTGATTTGGTTGTTTGGTTGGGTGATTGTTGAGCTATAGTATTATCGTCAACACACTTTTCATTAATATTAAAGGCAGATTGTTGATTTTCTATGAATTGCTGCCACTTTTGCCACGACAAAGAATCAAATTTGTCTTTCCCAATTGCGTCCCGGTTAACAGGAAAAATTTCAGTTCTTTTGAATCCGTTTTCCAAAATCACTGGATTCAAAGTATCCCAAATTTCCGTTATTATTCTTGCAAACTCTGCTTTTGGTAATTTTGAACCAACATGTAAGCGCTGCCATTTAATAAGTTCATCTTCCCATCTATCCTTAAGCGGTTTCATAGCGCTACAATCTAGGGGTTGCAGTATATGCGATGAATGGGGGGGGTAATTTTATAATTGTGATTCCGTTAGTTGCTGCCAATTCGATCACATTCAAATCTACATGTGTGGAGTGCCCATCGTAAATCAGCAACACGGGTCTTTTGTCACCGACGGCGGGTATGAAAACGTCTTTCAAGTACTTTTCAAAAATAGTAGTCTCCATCCATCCTTTTTGGCTAACTGCATAGGCAGTTTTTATATTTTCGTTTTGGTACATCCATTCGTTCCATAAATATTTGCCCTGGAATATAACCAAAGGCGGTATTTTTCCTCCAATTGCATTAGCAGCGAGCAAAACTGTCGTATTTTCGCGAGCTGGGCCACTTGTCGTCCTAGTTGATTGGAATCCAGTTAATCCAACAATTTTGCTTTTAGATGGATCTGAGCAAAAACTCGTCTCATCTAAGTTATAAATTTGTTCGGGTTTATTGCAAAGTTCTAACTCCCGAGTAACTTTTTCAAGCAAATCAAAATACTCATATATAACAAACGGGTTGCATGCCTTCTTCCGTGCAATTTCCACAGATTGTGGTTTTTTGTATGAGAGCTTATGTCGCTTGCGAAAAGCTAAGAACCACTCTTTCCCTGGTACGTCATTTTTGAAGGGAGTCACTATACCGTTTCTACAGATATATTCCGAAATCATAGCAATTATTTATTTTTTGGTCAGTGGATATCCACATTTTTCGAGGATATGAATATACGAAGCTATATTTTTTCGATGTCAGTAGAAAATACACCAGGTCTTCCAACTCTGGGCATTTTAGCTCCTCGAGTACCATATAGTCTAGAGATTATTGTAGATCTCGGTATATTGTATCTTTGTGCTGCATCATAGCTGTTAAGTTTTTTTGAGCGAACAGCTACAACTGCTTTATTCAACTGTTCTTCTGTGTATTTGGTCTCTTTTTTCTTTTGTAGTTCCGCACCATCTAAAAAAAACAAATAATCATAATATATCTTCATTCTAAATTTCATTTAGAGATCGTTAGCTTTAGATTCGTTTAGGTGTTTAAGCTTAAAGCGTTAACAAACATACAAACAAGCTTATAAACTTTTGCATTTATATTTAAATAGTAATGTCCCGCTTTTTCCCGGGATAAAAAAGTAGTTCCCATACCAAATTTCATGAAATATATATATATATATATATATATATATATTCTATTATATATTATATATGTATGTATGTATATAACATGTATGTATTGTTTATTATATATATTATTATTTCTTTTATCCTCTCTATTTGACTTTGCTGCACCGCCTCCATAATGTCTATCTCTGTTTAGCCTAATGGTTGACTGGGAGAGAATGCCCTATGGCATTAAGTCCGCCATATGTACTTTTTTGTGCATGAAAGTATAAATAAATAAATAAATAAAATCGGTTCATCCGTTTTAGCGTGAAGGGGTAACAAACACACGTATTAACACAAACTTTCACTTTCTACTACTATTATTTTACTACTCGTGACTCAAGAGTAAAAAATGTATTACTACTTCGTACGTACTAAGCAAAAATAACAGAACCTTATTAAAAATATCGACATTGCAACATCTCTAACGTTTATGAATTTCATACAAATTTGGTGTGGTAATTGCAACTAACCTTAAACTAACCTAAAAAGTCACAATTTCCCCTCAATGCGATTTCAAGGGGCTATTGTAACTCTAGCTTTATCACTTAATACGAGAGTCATACTAGCGAATAAATATTACAAAAAGCCTTACCTTATACAAAATCCGCTTTTTGTTAAAAACACCAGTCGTTTTAGCCGAAATTAGATATTTTTTTCTCAAAAAACGTACACGCGCACTCCTCCGTAAACATCAACTAAAATGGCGGATATTAAAATGTCACTGTAGCTCAAGCAGGGTAAACGAAATCAGTGCCATCTTTGGTATCTAGAAAGAGTTTTTGTTCCCGCATACTTTTAACGATGGCATTATTCGTAGAAATTAATTGGCGGGAAATTATTTAAAATAGTTGCATTTTCCCGGTAGTTGCATTTACCTCGCTGGACCTTATATGTATAATGAATTGTTATTGTGATATTATGTATTGTTTTACAATTTGATGTTATGGTTTTAAATGTATGTTATTTTATGTTTACATTACCGAACTTTTGAAATATACAAATTAAGGTAACCGATTTTTATTTACCAATCCTTGTAAGCCTGTTACATTATTAGCGTCACCATGAGTATTACAGCCCATCACAAGTCCACTGCTGGACATGAGCTTCCCTCAAGGAATTCCACCAAGCACATTCATGAGCCACCTGCATCAAACGACTTTCTGCATGTCTTACCAGGTCGTCACTCCATCTAGTGGAGGGGTGGGGGCTACACATTGAGGTTGCCATTCGAAACCTTTCTTCCCCGTCAGTTGTTGCTTTTTCGAGCTAATCGATCGGCCTATTGCCACTTCAGCTAACTAATCCATGGGGCTACGTCGGTTACTCTGATGCTACTGTTGATATCCTCATTTCTAAGTCTTATTATGCAGAGAAACAACGAACATAGCCTGTCCATAGCTTGCTGAGCGAGCTTCCTTATACTGCCCGTAGTGAAGGATTACGTCTTAGATCTGAGTTATCACTGGCAACATGACCTGATTGTACAATCTCATTATCAAGTTTTCAGTTATACCTGACGAGCAGATGTGTCGTAATCTCCTGAACGCTGCCCAGCCGAGTAGAATCCGTCTATTAACCTCTCGGTCGAAGTTGTAATAGTATATTTACATCGTAGGACTATTTGTCCCTGGCAAACATACTCGTTGACAACTTCGAGCCTAGTGCTCCCGATAACTTTTATACGTGGTAGAGCTATGCTGTAGTTATATTAGTAGTAGACCCCTGTTACTGGAAATGAGGCATTCCATCTTAGTCCTCACGGGTGACAACGCATCTGCGTTTTGATTCGTAATCGAAGATAGATGTAGATGTCTATGGGCCACAGCAACCACTTACTATCAGGTGAACTGTGTACTTGTTTGTCACCCTGTCCTATATTTTAAAAAACTACAACTAAGTCCAGTAGCTTAAAAACACCTTCCAATGTAGCTAACAGAGAGCAGCCAATGGCAGATTGTATGCTCTTCGGTTTTCTGTACAATTTGCTGAAGGGTATTGAACGCGGTCTGATGTCCCCTCGATCAAGGATCAACTAATTATTGACCTTCTATGCACAGACCGTGAATAGAAGTTTGGGCTAATATTTCCAATATGGACCATCGATTTCAAAGCCCATATTTTTTTTTGTAGATAGTACTCACTAAAAGAAAGCGTTTTGCAAAGTTTTAGGTTGCGGAAACTTACGGTTCATGAGATATATTTTTTAAACTTTTCATACAAATTGGTAATTTAACACACAATTACAAAATAAATTTGACAAACGATTGATGTCAAACGTCAGTTAGTGTAGGATTCCGAATATATTGAAAGTATCGATACCTACTCGATACCAAGTATCGTATCAAAAGTATCAATACTACTTGGATCGAGTACATTTCGTTAATTTTGGAGACGAAAAATTATGACAAACCAATTAGATGCATAGAAAGAGCTGATAAGTGCAATTATATATGTATATAAAGTAGAATAAAGTTTACGCTATTTAAGTTCCATCTTAGTACTTGTATTTCATTGTTTGCAACTTGTTTGTATTTCTTAATTAGTACAGCTTTTGTACTTTTATTTTATTGTTTGCAACTTTCTGTATTATCTAATTCTTACTACAATAAAGTGTTTACTTACTTATTGACTTACTTATTTAATATCCAAAAAGTACCCAAAACCGAATCAGAGCACCCCACTATCCACGTGGTCTTGTCTGCCCTACCCCTAGAGTGTATATAAGAGCCCGGAGGCGCGGAGGGAGAGCAGTGCCCGCCCGCCGTAGAGCTCAGGTGCCTGTGCTTCCCTACGCTAGGGCGGAGGCACTGCTCATCCCGCAGCGCCGGAGCTGCCACGGAGCGCCGGTGCACAACTTCCCGGCTTCTTACCCCCCTAGTCTCCAAAATTAACGAAATATACTCGATACCAAGTACTATTGATACTTTTGATACGATACTTGGTATGGAGTACGTATCGATACTTTCAAAATATTCGGAACCCTACACTAATTGACGTTTGACATCAATCATTTGTCAAATTTATTTTGTAATTGGTGTAATTGCGTGTTATTTGCCAATTTGTATGAAAAGTTTAAAAAAATCTATCTCATGAACCGTAAGTTTCCGCAACCTAAAACTTTGCAAAACGCTTTCTTTTAGTGAGTACTATCTACAAATGGGCTTTGAAATCGATGGTCCATATTGGAAATATTAACCGAAGTTTGCCGTTTAGTGGCGGTTAAGAATACCCACTCCCCCATATCTTCCCGTGGGTGTCGTAAAAGGTGAAGGGGAGGAAAACAGGCAGGAAATGGGCAGCAGCATCTTCCAGATAACAGCATTAATGCATGCACAGCATAATGGCATTATACCCTGTATATATATTATGAGCAACGAATAAACGGCCCCCAGTCCCCGGCGGCCCCGGTATTCCTGGCTACGGTTGCGACCATGGGAACGGCGGGGCAGGGGTGCTAAGAATATTCGGTGGAGGTTCGGTTAAAATTACGCAGAATGTATTCCACATTTACGGCGTGACTTCCAGAATAACATTGATTAGGTCTCGTGTCCTGCGTTTAGTTCTGCGAAGAAAATTAGCGAATTTTTGTCCTTCGTCTAAGTCTGTAATTAATTTTAAGTTTTAACTAAGAATTGCTTTTACGAGCTTATCGTCATTAAGCTCATTAGTAATACCTATTAGGCGTAACTGAGGATGTTTTACAGAAGTGGTTAAAACAGTCAGCTTGTTGCATGTATCTCTAATCGCCTTTTTTAAGGTTTGCCTATCTTGTGAATCACAGCTGATAATAACTTTTTGATTCCTTATTTTAGTTATT